TAGCGGAATGTTTTAAGGCAAGCAAATTGTCCTTAAATTTAAATAAAACTAAGTATTTTTTTTTTTGCATAGACTTCACGATAAAGAAAATATTCCATTAAAATTTCCTGATCTTTACATTGGCAGCTCTAAAATAATTAGAGAGTCATCATAAACGTTTTTAGGAGTGATACTTGACGAAAACATGACATGGAGAGAACACATAAGAACAATTGAAAATAAAACTTCAAAAAATATTATACAAAGCTAAGCAAATCTTAAACCAAAACTGCTGAAAAATCTTATATTTCTCCCTCATACATTGTTATATAAACTATGCAAATATTGCATGGTGCAGCTCTAATGTAAGTAAAGTTGAAAAATTGCTTAGTAGACAAAAACACGCTGTCAGGATTATTTCAAATGCAGGTCGATTCGCACATTCTAAAGAACTATTCAAAAATCATCACATACTCAATGTTCTTCAGTTAAACTTTTATCAAATTCTTATATTCATGTACATACTACATAATAAATTAACTCCTATAATTTTTAATACATTTTTCATAAAATTAATCACATGTACCCTACAAGATTTTCAAATTACAATTACGAGCAACCTAAAAAACATTATTTGGCTACTAAATTTTCTATTGCCATCAGAGGTCCTAAATTATGGAACACTTTATTAAATAACCAGCTGAAAAATTGTTCTTCACTTTCTCTATGTAAACAAAAATTCAAACAAAAATTTCTTAACGATGTTAATGAATTAAATTCTTTTTAAGATTCTTTTATCTTCTTTTTTAACAACTATCTTATTAATTAGTCTAACCAATTTAAATTTTCTTTAACTATCCTATTAACTTATCTTCGGTTTTTAAGTGTGATTGCTTTATTTATTTATTTTTTTTTTACGATTTTCTTTTGATTATAGATTAGTAACTGATCTTAACATATTTGTATATATTTGTATATAATTTTTAAATGGTACAAAGTAATTTTATGTTTTATGTTTACATTTTAATGGTTATACACGCTTGCTAATTGAAAGCACGTTGGGGTGTAGTGATAAGGCAAATATAAATATATAAATATAAATATAACACGGCATTGTATTTTTTTTTTTTTTAATGACAAATAAAAAAAAAATATCGTCGTGGAGATGGCGGTGTAATTTTTTATAATAAGAATAGAAATGTGCCGGGTACCCGGTTCGGAGCCGGTAATTCGGTAGTTTTGCCGGATACTCGGAATCGGCCATTTTACTGATGTACCCAGCACCAGGTATCTTTAAAAATATTTTTATTAGACATAAACTTTAAGTGCTACAACTAATAAATAATAATAAAAATAATAGCAATAATAGCAATAATAATAATAATATAAAAAATTTTGCTTTAGTGTTACTTTAAATTGTGTAGAAATATTATTAACCAGATAAAAACAATACTGTTTCAACCAATAAACTTCTTGATAGTTTAAGAAGTTGATAATTTCTATGCACTAAATCTAGGCGTGTCTCACTTAAATTACGTTTTCAAATTTATTTTTGCTATGTTATATTGATAGCAGATAATATTGCAAAAAGGAAATTTATACAGATATAAAAACCTAATTAGAAGAAAATTAGAATAGTAAAATAAAAACGGCTGAATTTAGAAAAATAAAATAATGTTAACTGAATTTGTTATGTGTATCAAGAAGAACATCAAAAATCGTTGTCAGATAAATAAAGTTTTAAAACTTTTTTGTAAAAGAACGTGCCAGAAAAAAAAAAGCATTAATGAAAATACTTACTTTTTAAGCAAACAGTTGGTAAATTATCAGACTAATACTATGTCTTAATACTAATTGTATTCATTGCTGGATCATACGTGATCATACAGTATGTTATGGTTTTTGGGTTGGATTGCAGCTAAGTAAGCTTAAGTCCACCTGAGGTCTATTCTGCCTTATTTAGTAGGTCAATATGGTTTTTTCTTAATTACCCAACTGTTAACCATGGTTTTTTAGTTAATTTTTTTTAGCCCTACCAAATATAATTTTATGGCTTGGAACCTCTTCGTTCTTAAGATCTAAAAAAGTAAAAAAAGGTCTTCATATTGTCTTTCTTGAACGTCCAGTGCACTCGCAAAAAAGTGTATAAACACATTTACTATAAACTTTTTTCTTAATATTGCAATGTCCTGATGATCTCTCTCTTCGCGTTTCTTAATTACATCAAGCATTTTTTTGGTGAAGAAATCTAGTTTTGAATGCGACATATGAATCTTTAAGGGCATATGACTATCCAGTTTCCTGAATTTTTTAATTAAACTTCGTAACCAGTTGTTTGTAATGGATCCTTGCCGATTCCTAGGAATCCTCAAATTAAACCACAAAATGCACTCAAATTTTCTTTTACTTTTGTTATTTTTGAGTTTTTCTGACTTTTAATTGAGGTATAACGAAAATACCACTTTTGATCTTTTTCTCAAATGGAAACATGAGACAAGGTTAAGAAAAGCTTAGATTTTGGAGGAGAAGCTTTCAGCGCTGTTTCTCCAAACTTTTATATTTTATCAATTCTATCTTTATATGAAGTGTACTTTATTAGAATTTATTGGAGCCTATTTGAGCCTGCTTGAGATCATTTAACCTAATTTCGCTTCATGGGGCGTTCTTTCTTGTAATAAACATTTTCAGCCCTTATAACCCTTAATGTTTCCTTTGCTAGCTTAGCAAGATAGAAAGCATCTTGATATCAGCAAAAACATCTCACTTGAACTCGGCATAATTTATTTTTCAAAAAATACTTTGACATTCTTTGACATTTGATAGTCTTCTTCCTTCTGTACCAATTATGCAAGAGGAAAAGACGGATATTTATTTCTATTCAAAGAAATACGTGTGTAAAGCGTATTAGATATGTATTTAGTGTAGCTTAAGTTTTGTTTAAAGCAGATTACTTTTTTCTTGATCGTTTTTTATAAACTATAAGTTATAAGTTTTATAAAAGATTATACGAAGCGAGAACGGAAAACCGACTATTTAAAGCTCTTATTAATAACGAAATTTTCTGTCTACAATATAATCTGTCTTGTAACCGACTACTTTTCTTTCCGAATTTAAGCCAACGCAGTGAAATAAGCATGCTAACAATCTGCAATGAAATGCTTTGTGAGCCAGTGACAATGAATGGACACTTAGTTGTCTGTTAGAGCAAAAAAAGTTGTTTTTTTAAAACAGTCAATGATACGGAAAAAAATATATATTTTTAGAATTAGCAAAGAAAATTTGTTAAAAAGCAATAAAAAGAATAGAGTGGGCAAATATTTTGTAAAAACTTGTAACAATGTGAAATGTTTTTAATACCTAAGTATCAGTTTGGTTGTTTTATTTCGTTTGTTTGGTGATAAAATTAAATTTTATGAACAACGTTTTTATAAATTAGTTTGAGCGGTTGGAAGTGGAAATTTAGCCCCCAGGACTATGTAGATGTACGCCTCTCATTTGTCATTTCTGAAGGTGTTGATGCGTGTTTAAAAGTAGGGCCAGCGTGATTAGTTTTCATGTAAGGGTTGCCATACGAGTTTTTACCAAAAACATGTTTAACATATAAAAACAAATCTAAATTGCTGCACAATGTTAAAACCAGTTAATTTACAACATTTTGTTTACTACTCAAAGTCATAGTGGTTTTATGAATATCTGTACTAAGTACAGATATTCATAAAATCACTATGACAACTGTACAGTCACAGTAGTTTTGATACACCAAACTATGTTAAAAATTTTATATTCATAATGTACACAATTAGCTGCGTACATTATGCTTATAAAAAATATTTTCTTAAAAAAAAACGTCTTCATTTAATTTTCTGCCATAAATGTGGGCAAATTTGTAAAGCAGGTATGTAAACGATGGTTTGTTATTACCTAGTTTTCTATTTCCGTTTAAAATAAATACATAATTTTTTAATGAGAAACATGTGTTTTATGGAAACATATGTAATGAAAAACATGTTTTAGCTAAAGGCTTAGGCAGCGCAAGAGGGCAGTTTGGCCCCCACGCCCTATGCTGATTCCGCCATTGGGATTATACTTGGAAGATAAACCGGTATTCTATGTGAAACACACAATTTTTTATAAAATAGATTTGAAGAATGGAGGTCGGGTTTTATTGTTTAACAAGAAACATTGTTTCTAGAATAGCTTGCATTTATGTAAAGCTTAACGTAATCATTTAAAAGACCAGTTTGGGTAGCACGGAAAAGCTGAAAAAGAGAGGTTGAAATTATTTTAAAACGTCAGAGGAAAAATTTTTGTTAAAAAGAGCTTAAGGAAATTAGTCTTGAAAAAAATAACGTATTTTATTTATACAAGTGACTTATACTGAAGACTTTCTTAGACGTGTAACTTGGCAACAAAACTTTCAAAGTTAATATTAAAGATGTAACTATAACTATGCACACAAATCACAACCCATTAATAATTATTGAAAACTTGTTATAGTGAAAATTGTTAAAGTAAAGAAATACAAACAAGAAATAAATAATAATAACAGGCCACTGGTTCTTAACAAAATTGTTGAGCTTATAGGCTAAACTTGAAAGCGACTTTTAGCTTACAAAGCTGTATCCAATAAATAAAAACATATTTATTTTGTTGTGCTACCAATGTTTTGCTAAAGATGGCTGCACTTCATTGCATTTAAATTTACTATTACAAAACCAAGCAATTATTTTAAAGAACTGTTTACGGCAAAATTAAGATTACTTAATAATAGTGTGACCTTAACTTAAGCTTTATATTTTACACCCAAACAAGACATATAACTAAAACTTTTAATTGTATGCAGGGCCGGCGAGAGCTGTCACGCCGCCTTGGACAGCAATCCTGATTGGCGCCCTTATTTATCAAATTTTTCTATATTATATATAAAGGCCCTTTTTTTTATTTTTTTTTATTTTAGTTAAATTAAAAAAACTTTTTTTATTTTAGTTAAATAAAAAATTTTAGTTTAATAAAAAACCTACATTTCATTCGGCGCCAATTAGATATCTGCCACCCGGGACAAACTGTTCCTTGCGACCACCACCACCCCCCCCCTTCTTTCTAGCGACACTGGTTATATGCCTCGTTTAAATGTATAACTAAATGTTAAAGATTGTAATCAGCACTTTAAGTCTTATGTTTTGCTATAATAGCAATCCACTGCAAGATAAATATATAATAAGAAAAATCCTAATAAGGGAAAAAACAACTGTTGTATTGTTATTGTTGTATTATTAACAACTGTTGAATTTATATTAATATATTTATGTTCAACTTATAAAAATTTGAAAGAAAGCTCCTCGCTTCATGAAATAAATTACTATATACTAAGATCAAATAACAAATGTTTCATAGTTAAACTCGTTTATGATGATTTTGTTTTTGAGATTTATACTTTAAGTTAATACTAGAAGACAGTTAAGCATAAATGTATGAATTATTGAAATTACGAATAAAAGTTTTTAATGTATAATTTAAACATACATATTTTCGCAACAAATTCAAACTGATATTTCACATTTGGATACTTTACTAGATAATAGTTATTTTTTCATTAGCATATAATAAAATAGAAATGCTTACCAATATATCTTTATATAAATTCTATCATACGAAACCAGAATTTGTTTATTCTTATGAAAACATTATTTCTGTAAAATTGTCTAAATAATTACAAATTAATTTTTTATGAATTTTCAATAATGTTTTTCAAATAACAAAAATTAATTATTAAATTATGAGTGAAACGTTGAAAAGCTTTATAACATATTAATCAGGTAAAATGTATACATTACATATATAAATACATAGATACATATTTGCCCATGAAGTAGTAATTTCTTAGTATGATATGAAGTACTAATTTCTTGGTATGATATGCAAAATACAAAGTTCAACCAACTTTTTTAAAAAGCATTATAGATTTCATAAAACATCTATTTATAATTTAATTGTTTATTCCACAAAGTTGCAACTTAGTTGCTAAAATGTAGTATAAGTATTTAAATTCCACGATTATGTTTTCTTGTTTCAGTTTGGAGTTGAAAACGTTTTTACTCAGCATGTTTATAAAAAACTATGGCCATTTTACTTTAAGTGCCCAGTTATTTTCACGTTTACGTATAAAAAGCCCTTCCGAAGAGCCTAGAAAATTAAAAAAAATTAACTCAACCAAAATATATAGTAAAATATTAAGACTGTAAGAAAAATTTCATTTAACTAAAACATTAAAAAACAATAAAAATTAAAGTGAATAATCTTTCTCACTTAGCCATTGCTCTGATCCTAAAGAAAAACTTTGGTCAGTATTATTTTCTAGGTTTTTCCAACTAAATTGTTCAAATTTTGTAGCTTCAAGGAAATTATCATTTGTTAGCGCAAGCCATTTTTTGTGTATTTTATCAAGCATCAAGTAAGTTTTTTGATTGCGATGTATTCCATACAAAACTCTTGTTATAGAATGATAACCAATAATAGAACCAACGAGGATATCTAATTCTAAAAAGAATATATATATATACACACACATAAATAAATAAATTAATAGATATAAATATATATATATATATATATATATATATATATATATATATATATATATATATATATATATATATATATATATACATATATATATATATATATATGTATATATATATATATATATATGTATATATAAACATATATTTTATATATATATATATATATATATATATATATATATATATATATATATATATATATATATATATACAGGGCCGTACCAAGGGCAGGGCCAGCCGGGCCGCGGCCTGAGGCGCCAAAATTGGGAGGGCGCAAAATTCCCCAAATTAATTTATTTATTTTCACATTATGAAACTAATTTGCGTGGCGACACTTTTATGTTGATAAGAAAACTAATTAAAATTGCGCCTCCTGACGAACTTTAAAATAAAAGCTCATTTACCAAACAGAAGAGCGCCTTTAAACACTAAAAAGTTGTATTTTCTGAGCATTATTTTTTACAATAAATCGTGCAAAAAAATTATCTGGTGCTGAATTTAAGAACGACAATTAAAAACCAATTAAGGATCATATAAATTAATTTAACGCACACATTAAAAATTATTCTAAAAAGAAAAAAATATAGAAAAAAAGAACTTCGAATTTAAAAAAAAAGAACGCCTAATTTAAGCGGCTTAAATAAAGAAACAAATGAAATGAAAGCTAAAGAAAGTAAAGTAAGCAAATAATAATAAAAATAAAGAGGGAGAAGAAAAGAACAAAGAAAAAAGAAATAATAGAAGCGCAATTAAAAAATAAAAAGTTGTATTTTCTGAACATTATTTTTTACAATGAATCCTGCAAATAAACTATCTGGTGCTGAATTTAAGAAGAAAAGAAGAGACCATCTTGAAAGTGACGCAAAACTAAGAAATTGTTTCAAGAAGTGGTTGGTAACAAACTCTTCTGTGGAAAAACAAATTATTTCAGAGGATATTTGCAATGAAGTTGATAATGATTCAACAGCTGAAGCTGCTACATCTTTAATTACTGACTTAAATTCATATCATCTATTGGAATTAATTGAAGAGGAGATTTTGATTGGACAAAGTCAAGACGAATTTGGACCAAATGATTAGAAGCACAAGAAGATAGAAATTCTCAGCTTTCCAAACCAATTAAAATAGGCAACAGTGAATTTCCTCCTAAAATCTCAGAAATTTCAGCAACCTCAGGAGAAAACTTTCAACACAGTGATCCAGCTACATGACCTAAAATGACAGATAAAACAAGGTGCTTTTTGATTCAGCATGGGCCGGAGCAAGAAAGAAGAGAATTTCTCCCAAACACACTTTGTGACTTTGACAACAGAATGCGACACTTCAGCTCAAAATGGTATGAAAAAATTCATCCCAATGGTGAAAAATTTGTTCGCTACTGGCTGCTGTACAGCAACAAAAAAGATTCTTTGTTTTGTTTTTGCTGTCTGCTATTTTCAACGACAAAAACCAACAATTTTTCAGAAATTTTAAAAGGATTTTGTGACTGGAAAAAACTAAACCCAAGAACTCCAGAACACAAAAACAGCAATGAACACCAAAGATGCCATTCTGATTGGAAAAATCTGGAAAAAAATCTCAAGGAAGGAAAGACCTTGGATTCTGATCTGCAGAGAGTTATTAACGGAGAGATGAAAAAGTGGAGAGATATCTTGAAAGTAATTGTTGATGCAATTTTGTTCTGTGCCAAGAACAATCTTGCCCTTCGGGGTTCAACAGGAGTAATTGGAGAGCAAAACAGTGGCATCTTTCTGAACTTAATTGAGCTAATAAGCCATTATTATCCTTTAGTGGCTGAACACGTTGCATCCGTTAAGGCAAAGAAAACCACAACGTCCTACTTTTCTCCTCGAATTCAAAATGAGCTGATTGAATTACCTGGGCAGAAAGTCAGGAATGAAATTTTGTCAAATGTCAGAGAAGCTAAATACTACTCTGTTTTGTTTGACTGCACTCCAGATGCCTCCCACAAAGAGCAGATGACCCAAAAAATCAGGTATGTCCACATCACTGAGGAAACCTGTACAATTGAGGAAAGCTTTGTGGACTTCATTGAATCTCACGAAAAAACTGGAAAGGGCCTTGCAGCTGAAATCACCGAAAAACTGGAGAAGGATGGCCTGAGCATTTCTGATTGTCGGGGCCAAGGTTACAACAATGGAGCCAATATGTCTGGAAAATATAATGGCGTCCAAGCTCACATCCATTCTCTAAATGAGTTTGCAAGATTTGTTCCATGTGCAGCTCACACTTTAAACCTTGTTGGTGTCCATGCTGCTGAAGTTTCTCTACTCATGATTACATTCTTTGGAAAAGTTCAAGCCATCTTTAACTTTTTCTCAAGTTCTACCTTAAGATGAGAAAAACTGATGAAAACATTGACCATCTCACTAAAGGGAAATAGAGATACAAGATGGTCTGCCAAAAAAAAAGCGATCACCCCACTGCACAGACAAATCAAAGAAGTTATTCAAGTTTTGGAATCCATAATTCACATTCCCAAGACAAATGCTGTCTCAGTTTGCAGTGCAAAAGAGCTCATCATTCAAATTCAGTTTGTTGGATTTTTGGCGTCAAATTCTTTCTTTAATTGACCGGGAAAACAAACTGCTTCAGTATAAAAATATTTCAATTGACATTGAAGCAAAAAAATGAAAGGACTGAAGGCTTCCATTCAGAATCTGAGAGATGTTGGGGTGAACAACATTATCAAAGCTGCTGCAGAAACAGCTATCCAAATTGGAATTGAAGGAGACTTTTCTATGAAGAGAAAGCGCAAAGTGAAGCAGATGGCACTTTATGAAGCTGAAGATGACTTTTGCCGTTTGTCACCAGAAACTGATTTCGGATCCCAGTGCAACCTTGTGTTTGACAGCATTCCTACACAAATTGAGTGGCGGTTTAAAGCTATGTCTGCAGTATCCTCAGATTTTGACTTCCTCAGTGGACATTCTCTCTCCAAAAGTTCAGTGGATGAACTTAAGACTAAAGCCAAAAATTTGTCTAAAATTTTTAAGGCAGATTTAGATTCTTCAGATTTCCAGTCAGAAATGGCAAGCTTTAAATATCAAGCTGCTGCCATGATGGAAAACTTTGAAAAATCTAGCCCGATGGACATTTTGCAGCTCATTCATAAATATTCATTGACTGATGCTTATCCTAACACGGCAATTGCTATTCGCATCTTCCTCACCTTACCAGTTACAGTTGCCACGTGTGAAAGAAGTTTCAGTAAACTTAAGATCATAAAAAACTATTTAAGATCAACTATGGGCCAAGAACGTTTGTCTTGTCTGGCAGTAGTTTCAATTGAACATGAAGTGGCCAACGCACTTGATTTTGATGATGTCATTAGTGACTTTGCCTCCAAAAAAGCCAGAAAAGTGACCTTGAACTGAAGTTTGTGAAACATTGGTGACAAATTGTTCTTTTAACTTGATGCAATAAATTTTGTGATCAATAATTAATTTTTTTTCATGTAAATATATATATAAAGTTGGCCTGGTACGGCCCTGTATATATATATATATATATATATATATATATATATATATATATATATATATATATATATATATATATATATATATATATAGTGCTTTTTTTCTCCTAGAACGCACCGGAACGTCGTTTTGGCACCTTTTTTTTGATAAATTCACTTTTTTTTTATTATTTAGACTTTTTTTTCTCTTTAATATTATACAATAAAATTAGGTCATTTTTAAATATATTTAAAATTGTTTTAACTAAAAATGCAAATAAGTAAGATTAAGTAAAACATGTTTTGCAGATTTGAAAACAAAACAGCGCTGCATATCAGAATCTATTGTTTCATAGTCGTAAGTAAAAACTGAATTTGCTTAAGAAAATTAATTTTCTTCATTTCTTAATATGCGTTAGTTTTCTCGACGCCAATTTGTTTGTTTGTCTGAATATCAATTTCACAACCATAGGCTTTTTTAAGTAAAATGAATTTCCTCCTATCAGTGTTTTAAATTCAAAGTTATAACTTTATTTATTACTATTTAAAAAGTGATATAAAAATATTATTTAAGCAAAATAACAAAAAACTTAATATGAAAAAAAAAAAGCTACTCGGTGGACTCCCCCAGATCAGAGAAAAATCAAATTAAGCGCAGAAGAAATCAAAATTACAACATCAAATTTAGTTTCTGCTAGCGATTACAATAATATAGCTGGCCAAGTTGTTGGACTTAAGAGCAAAAAACAGAGTTTTATTCCAAAAACATGTGACTTTGTTTCGACAAAAAAGCTTAGATGCACTACCTGCCAAAGAGTAAAACCACTTGGGAGAAGTTAAGATAAGAATGAAAATATCGAAAGAATGGTCCAAATATGAAGTTTTTTATCATGGCAAAGATAAAAAGCAACATTTAGTTTACAAAAAAAATATTTGATCACAAAGAATCCGCTGGATATCAAGCTTCGTTAAAGATAGTAGAAAAAGCTAAAAAAGAGATTCTTTCAAACAATATTTTAAAGTCTTTAACGCGTGAGAAAATTGTAACAGCAAACATTTTTCGATCTGCATATAAAGTTGCAAAAGGAAACCAGTCCTTTAATAACTTTGAAATGGAAATTGATCTTCAAGAACTTAACGGAATTGAAATAGTCGTATTCCCTATTTTTACAAACGCATGCATTAATATAGTCAATCATATAGGAAACGAAAAAAGAAAAAATATTAATGGAGAAGTCATAAAATAAAGAGTAAGGTCTTCGTTAAAAATTGATGAGTCAACCACTATAAGTCAAAAATTAACACTGATAGTGTAAATTTGATGCTGTGTAAAAAGCAGTGTAAAGAATTCACAAATTAATTTATTTTTGGATTTAGTGAAACTTAAAAGCGTTACGGATAAAGGATTATTTGATGCTTTACTTTAGTGTATTCATTCTTATGGAATGAAAAAAGAATACTTGATGAATTATTTAGTTTCTGTAGCATGAAATGGTAGGATGCGAAAGTGGCATTTTCAAATTAATGACTAAAAATTTTCCTTCTGTAATAGTTTGGTATTGTACTAAGACTGGAATTATTAGTAGGCGATTATTAGAGACCATTAGGGAGATCTTAAGTATTAACAGATTCAAATCATTTCTTGATTAACTTTACATCGTGTATCCTTCTAAAGCTTCCCTAAAAAATAGTAGAGAGTCACATTTAGTTCATTTGGTACACGCTCTACATACTATCCCCATTTCGTCATGTGAATGCAAACGTGGATTTTCACAGATGAATCTGATTATCACACCAACAAAGACTTCATTAATGAAAAAAACAGTTTTAACGTTGTTATTCATTAAATTGATGAGACCACTGCTAACAAGCTTCGATTCTTCAAAGTATGTTGATTCGTAGTTATTTAGCGGAAGGCATTCAGCAGTAGACACTAAGAACAAGAAAAGGAGACGAGCGAAAAAAAAACAGAGGGGTTTGTAAAAAAAGTTTTTTGCTTTGTAAAGTTTGTATTTTGTATACAGTGACGTATCCTACCATCCTCAACCACCTCTCCCCCCCTTTCCCCCCTTCCCCCCCCCTCACCCAAAA